AAAACTTTTTAAAAGGTCTGGGGATATAGCTCAGTTGTGAAGGCCCTGGGTCTGATGCCTTGTATACATAAAAAAAACAAAAAAAAAACAAAAAAAAACCCAGAATGATCAAGATTCTTTTACTTTAAAGATAAAAAAATGAAAATATTAACAAACACAGACATAAACAAAACAACATAAAAACAATAAGAGCAATACAGAATTTCAGACAGATGATAGGAAATTAACAGTGGTTGTTGCATAAGATTCTTAAGAAACAGACCTTAAAGATTATTTAGACCCCTGAATGGTGGCAGATACCTGTAATCCCAGCACTTGGGAAGCTGAGGCAGGAAGATGGCAAGTTCAAGGCCAGCCTGGACTAGGTTCTCTCTCAAAAACAACAACAAAAAACCCAATCAGTCAATCAATAACTAAATAAAGTGCAGATTGTAGATTAGTAAAATTGTACAGGTGTGAGTCACAGACTAGTACTGGTCATAAACTAGCTATTACTGGTTAGTGATCAGTACAAAAATTGAAAGTTTTTAGAGACTTTCCTAGCGGTGCAGCATCACCGATAAACCAAATGTGTGCTCATTTTTCTAGTAGTTGATATTTACTGATAAATTGATTATTTTTACATAAATTTGATGACTTGAATGAAATAAAAAGCAGCAGTATCAATCTTTTTTTAAATTAAAAACTACTGGTTGAAATTCAGAAATTCAGAACCAGTGATTTTTGTCTATGCTAGTCTGATCCCTCACCCAGTGTCAGGCAGTTATAGTTACTAGTTGCCAAGCACTATTCTAAATGTTTTGCAAATATTTTCAGATTTAAGTTTTTATAATAACACTACTGAGATAAGTACTATTATTATTCCCATTTCACAGGAAAGGAAACTGAGTCACAGAAAAGTTTGTTACTCACCTAGGTTACATACCTGTAACTAGTAAAGCTCCAATTGAACCTAAGTATTTGGCTATGTTCTTAACTCTTAAATTCAACAGTCACTCTGCAATCATTTTTATAAACAAAAGCTTTTTTTTTTTTTGGTGGTACTGAGGATCAAAACCAGGGACTCCAAAGTTTCCTTTGAGATTTAAAGCAAACTCAGGTGTGAGCCCCTGTACAAATGAAAGTTCAGTACTTCCAACATACAGTGGCACAAGGTAGACATTTCCATTCCAAAAGTTACAGAAAGATATAAAGGAGTAGGACCAAAGCAAATCCAAAAGCCAGCAGGGCAGACATTAAGTCTCATAGTTGCATGTGGAGCATCTGAGGCAATTTGTGGCAAGATGTGAACTCAAAGGGCTTGGGTGGCTCTACCCATATAGCACTTTTGGCTATTGTAGCTCTCATGGGTTCTCTCTTGGGCCTGCTCTGCTCTCCTTGCAGTTTTCCTCAGATGATCCATGTTCTGGACTTCTCTAAACTGCTAGGGTATCCACTGCACGTTTGACTTCACGCAGCTTCATACACTGCCCTCTCAGGGGCACACTGCCTGGCCTCCCAGGCCTTTTTCTGAAATCAGGGTGGAAGCCTTCTTGACTCCACAGCTCTTGCATTCTGCATGCACCTAAAACCAGTGCCATGTGGATAATGCCAAGGTCTGCTGCCAGCTAGAGCAGTAGCCAGGCTTTCCTGGATTGCTGGACAATCCAGTTCCAAGGAACAAATTATGCTGCCACCATACTGGAACATGTGCTCTGGGGTTCTCTTCTCAAAACAGTCTTTCACTTTTGCAATTTTGAGGCTGCCAAAGGTGGAGTCCTGCTGCTTCTTGTGATGCCCTCAGGCCATCTTTTCTATTCTCATATTCCTTCTTAGCAGTCAGCATCTCCTCTGTCCCATCTTTGCAGTCCACAGCTTTACTTGAGTTTCCTTTCTGGCCAAACTCATAATGTTTTAAATTATTCTGCAGTGCTCTTTGCGCTTAATTCTCAACATAGATTTTGCTAAAAGCTCCCAACAGTAACCATGCTACCACCTCAACATTCTACTGTCTTGAAATTTCTTCTATGAAATTAATTAGTCTTTTGCCCTTAATCTCACTTTTAGGCAAAGTCTCTGGACACAAGCAAAATGCAGACAAACTTTCTGCCAAGCCATAGCACACGTCATCGGAGTTCAGCAGCCAATGCAGTCCTTTTTCCAGTGGAAACCCCTGGAGTCTGGCCTGTACTTGCTTTCTGATCTTCTGAGCTCAGGCCAGAATCTCCCATTCAGAACAGCCTAAGCTGTTCCAGCTCTCCTTTTTCTGCTGGGATCTCTTGAGTCATTCTAAACTTTTCCCACAAATCATTCCCAAAGGCTCCTGAATCATATGGTCAGGTGTAGTCACAGCAATGACCCCAGTTCTCTGTTACCAAATTCTGTCTTTCTTTTCTTGTTGCTGAGACAAAATACCTGACAGCCAGTTAAAGGGGAAAAGGTTTTTTAGCTCACAGTTTGTAGAGGTTTCAGTCAATAAATGGCTGGCTCCAAGGTAGGGTGGCATATGGCAGAGGCAACAGTTTATGGCAGCAGAAGACAGAAAAAGCAAGGAGAGAGACAGATAGATAGACAGAGACACAGAGTGATGGAGACAGATCTGCGAAACTGCGAGTTGTCTTTAGAACCAAGCATCTTTTTGTGTGCTGATCTGTCTATAGGATGAGGAGCCTTCCTTTTCCTTTTTGTTCTTCTTGGATGGAAATTTTGTGCTTCATAAAATTAAGAATATATAGGTGTCAGTAAAGGCATTTATTAAGGCTTCAATATTTCCATTACTTCTAATTTAGAATTGTTTTGGTAGCCAATCATACTGTTAACTCTTTTTGCCTAAAACCCTGAGGTCCTTGTCCTTTGATTTATTCTTGAACTAGAACTCCCTCATCCAGTTTTGTTCCGTTGAATTTTTTTTCTGTTTCATCTTTTTGAGACAAGATCTCACTATTCAGTTTAGGCTGGCCTTGAGCTCACTTTGTAGCCCAGGCTGGTCTCAAACTCACAAAGATCTTCCTGCCTCAGCCTCCCAACTGGTGGGATTATAGGCGTGCACCACCGTGCCTAGCTTAGTTGAAGTTTTCATTTTTTTTTTTTGTGGTGATAATGGGCGTTTGAATACCCAGGGCTTTTGCAGTGGGCTACATTTCCAGCACTTCAAAAAATTCTTTAGGGGCTGGGGATTTAGCTCAGCAGCACCGCACCTGCCTGGCAAGAGCAAGGTCATGAGTTTGATTCCCGGGACCAGAAAAAAAAAATTTTTTTTTTAAACTTTTATTATTTATTTATTATTTCAAGTACTGGGCATTAAACACAAGGCCTTTGCACTGAGCTACATCCCCAAACTTTTTTTTTTTTTTTTGGAGACAGTGTTTTCCTAAGTCACCAGGTCAACCAGGCTTGGCTGCAACTTGAGATCCTCCTTGGCTCAGCCTCCTGGAGTGCTGAAACTATAAGCATGCAGTACCAAACCTCGTGGAGTTTTGAATCTTATGTGTAAGGTTGCATATGTATACTTACTGCTTTTTTGTTTGTGTGTGGTGCTGGGGTTTGAACCCAGGGTCTCAAAAGTGATAGGAAAGCACTCTTTCTGTGAGCTACACATCAAGCTTTTCCTTTAAAATAAAATCTTCATTATTGGCTCATTTTTTCTGAAGAGGGTTTGTTGTATGTTGTGTCCTTTAATTCTGACCATAATCCAATAATTCTTCCTCTCCTGTTGTCTGTATGGTTGATAAACCTACCTTTTATATCTTTAGTCAAGTGACTGATTTAAAAATCTTCAACAGGGGCTGGGAGTATAGCACAGTGGTAGAAGACTTGCCCACCATGTGCAAGATACTGGGTTCAATCCCCAGCACTGTAACAATAACAGTGATAAAAACAACTTCAATAGGACTTGATGGCATGTTGTTAGATATTTACTTACATTTTGATGAAGACTCCATAGTCATTTCATTGTTGGCATTAAACTAACCAACACATCTGCCTAATTTTCCAATGGTCTGATGTGTATGCATGTATATGGTAGGTTGGGATAACAGGTGTGTTTTAGTTTGTGTCCCACTGCTACAATAAACTACCTGAGCCTGGGTACTTCATAAAGAATAGAGGCTTGCCAGGCATTATGGTAGATGCCTGTAATCTCAGTACTTGGGAGGCTGAGGCAGGAGGATTATTGGGAGTTTGAGACCAGCCTGGGCTACAAAGTGAGCTCAAGGCCAGCCTGAGCTGCATAGTGAGACCCTGTCTTAAAAAGCCCAAAAAAGAAAAAAAAGAAAAGAGCCTTTCTTAGCTCACAACTTTGGAGATTAAAGTTCAAATAACATAGTGCTGACCATCTGATGATAGCCTCATAGCAGATGAAATCATGGTGCAATCAAATTTGAGGAAAGGTCACATGGAAAGACAGACAGGAAGCCAGAGAGCAGGGAGGGGCCAGTCTTGCTCTTTTGTAAGAATCACCCTTTCAACAATTACCTCACTGTAAGAAGTATACATTAGTTCTTTCTAAGGGCTGTGCCCCCCAAAGACCCAGACATTTTCCACTAGCTTTCACTGTTTGAAGTACTGTCACCTCTCACCATTCTCACACTGGGAACCAAGCTTCTAACATATAAACCCCTGAGGATATCTCATATCATATGTATACGATAGCAAAATGGTGGGAAGAACCTTGTAGATCATTAGATTTTCTGCCTGAAAGTTCATTTTTTTCATACAGTAGTTAACACAGTAATCTTAAGGAAAAAAACTTTTTCACTTGGAATTATTCATAAATGGCTAAAGATGAGATAATAAATAGACATACAAATAAAGTGTGATGTTTATTTTTAAATCTCTTTTGGAAAAATCCTCTGTTACATTGAATATTGTTAGAGGAAAAGCGGATCATTTAACCTAAAGTCTTGTTAGGATTAAGGGAAATTGTTTACAATTGAACTTGTTTTTTTCCTTCTTGTATTATCTCTTTTATTCATTTGGATTTATTCTGTTAACTAAGGAAAAGTTTAATTTTTTTTCCTCAGCTTGCTGAGCTAAAGCAAGAATGTCTTGCACGTGGTTTGGAGACCAAAGGAATAAAACAAGATCTCATCAACAGGCTGCAGGCATATCTTGAAGAACATGGTGAGTACTCTGTAAAGTCAGGATGATGTGAGGGAGCCGGATGTGGTGGTGCAAACCTGTAATCTCAGCACCTGGGAAACAGGCAGGAGGATTGCCACAGGTTTGAGGCTGGCCTAGGCTACATAGTGAGTTCAAGGCCAGCCTGAACTACATAGCGAGTCTCAAAAAAAAAAAAAAAATGATGCGAGGTGATCAATTTTTAGCCTCTGCTGCTTAGAAGCTTTCTTCTGAGGAGCCTTTTTAAAATTTTTTTAAAATTTTGAGGAAAAAAATCCCCAAATATCAAAACAAGATAATAGAGTAGCAGTGGTTAATACATTGCATATTGTTATCTTTAAATTAGTTACTCAGAGTAATATAGACAAATACAAAATATAGGCATTTAATTTTCCAGGCAATATTAGCACAAACCTTTCTTTTCAATGAAGTAAGAGAAATTAGTAGTATAACTGTCTTATATATATATGTACATATATATGTATGTGTATTTTTTTTTTTGTTTTTTGGCCTTCCCCTTCCATCTTTTCTTCTTTTCCCCCATCCTAGTTTTTCTTTCATTTTGAACAATTTCTTCCCATTTTACAATATCTGTTGTACATTTTGGATCTTACTTACTCTGTCAGCTTCTCATATTAGGGAGACAATACAATATTTACATGTGAGTCTGGTTTATTTCACTTATGATTATGGTCTTGAGTTGCATCCATTTACCTATAAAAGTCTCCAATTTATCCTTCTTTATGGCTGAGTAGTCCTCCATTGTATTAAAAAAATTTTTTTAGAAGCCTTCTTTTAAGGTCATTGTTGCATGTAAGCTTTTGATTAACAACGTCAAGGAAACTATTGTTGGTCATCCAAAGTAATGATTATAATACAAAAAAATACAATAAAACCTTGGTTGGCAGGCATAATTCATTCCAGAAACATGCTTGTAATCCACAGCACTTGACAGTAAATATATCAAAGCAAATTTCGCCGTAAGAAATAATAGAAACTCAGATGATTCATTCCACAACCTAAAAGTACTCATAAAAGTGATTATAGTACTGTAATGCAGTACAAAACTATAAAACACAAAGTACAAACAAAAATAAGCAAATTATCCTGCTCTTACCTTTGAAAGCCTTAATGGGTGTTGCGAAGGAGGTAAGAGAGACGAGGGTTATTGTGAAGGGTGACTTGCACTATCACTGATGGGATCACTGCTGTTTGTTGGCTCTCTAGCTCTTTTGTGGGGTTGTTTTTGTTTGTTACTTTGTTTTTTTGAGACAGGGTCTCACAATGTAGTTCAGGTTGGCCTTGAACTCACTATGTAGCCCAGGCTGGCCACAAACTTGTGGCAATCCTCCTGCCTCAGCCTCCCAAGTGCTGGGATCACAGGTGTGTACCACCATGCCCGGCCTGTTTGCTTTTAGAACACTTGCACAGAACAGGTTATTGGCAATGTAAGTTTTTTTTACTCTCTTTTTTAAAAGACATAGTTTTACCTCAACTTTTGTGTGTGTGTGTGTTTTGTTTTTGCTTTTTAAAGAAAAGGTCTTACCATGTTCTTCAGCCTGATCTTGAATATTTCAGTGTATCATTTAAAAGTTAGCATGGTAATGCAAAAAACATTAGGCTGAAAATTTGGAAGGTTTAAGTTTTATACTTTGTTTTGGTTGTTTTTGTGGTCCTGGGGATTGACCCAGGGTCTTGTGCATGCTAGGCAAATGGCTGTGCTACTGAGCTACACTCCCAGCCCAAAAGGTGTAAGTTTTAATTCCTTTTATGCTAGAAACTTATTAAGTAATTTAGGACAGTAACTGTTGACATGGCTAAAGGTCTGTTGCTGTGGACCCTTGCAGTCTATAAACCGTAATCTGTAGTTCCTCCTGATTAGACATTTTAAATTCTGCCTTTTAAAAAATAAAACAAAGTGGGCATAGTGGTACATGCCTGAAATCCCAGCTACTTGGGAAGCTGAGGCAAGAGGATTCTAAGTGTAAAGCCAGCCTGAGCAAACTAATAAGACCCTGTCTCAAAAATAGTAAAACGGTGAGGCTATAGCTTAGTGGTAGAGTGCTTGCCTAGCACATGTGTGGCCTCTTGGTTTAATTCCTAGTACCGTGAAAGAAAGAAAAAAAAAACAACCCAGCTTCATTAAGGCATATTACCCTCCCAGATTATATAAATCCCTTCTCTAATTTTTATTTATTCCCTTTTATTGCCATTACTCATTTCACTTCCTTCCAACTCACTTAGGCATCCATTCTCATCATGTTTGTTTGTTTCCAGCTCTTTTTAAAAATGTTTTATTTTGAGACAAGATCTTGCTAAGTTGCCCAGGCTGGGCTCAAACTTTCCAACCTCCTGGAGTGCTGGAATTATAGGCATGTGCCACCATGCTCAGCCCCAGTGAGTTTTACGTATAGTTTTTGTCTTGATTCCTATAAACCACATAGTGTTTGGTATAGTAGTTTCATTTATATAATTGGTAATGAGGCCGTAGCGTTATTTTATTTCTCTTTTTTGCTAAGTATTATGTTTTTTTAAAGTGGTATCTATGTGAGATGAGGTTATATAGTCATCTAATTTATTACACTTCTGCATTTACACAGTATGATTGAAATATGCGGTATTTAAATTTTTAAAAAAATTTTGCATTAAAAGACACACTGACACTAATCCCCCTCAGAGACTGCCCCCACTTGCTTCAGACGTACTTATCCCATTGTTCTTGCCACTTTCTGAAGCAGTTCTGAAAGTCATGTTTCGTGAACGTCTTAGGAGGCGAGATAAAAAATGTGGTGAAAGCTGTTGCTGCACGACACCCAGTGGAAAGGCAGGCCTGTAAAAACATTACAGTGTCTTCATTACCTTACTTAACAGATGTGGCCCCTTACGACTTCTGGCTCTTCCCCAAAGTCTAAATGCCTGTGAGAGGTCAGCCTTTTTAATCCATTCCAGACACTGAGGCAACCATGACAGTGCACCAAAAGGCATGAAAGAAGACTTCCAGAACTGCTTCAGAAAGTGCCAAGAATGAGGGGATGCGTGTGTTCAAAGTGAGGGAAATATTTTGAAGGGGGTTGATGGCAGTGTGTCTTTTGCTATAGTAAATTTAAAAACATTCACTGTATTTTCTAATCATGAAAAATATGAATACAGTAATACCTCAGTTCATAAATGCTTCTGTTTGCAAGCAATTTGGTTTATACACAAAAGTATTTGGCAGAATTTTACTTCTGTCCACAAACCATGTTGGGAGACAAACATGAATCACAGCCGTCTTCCTCACATAAACACAAATGCAAAATCATGAAAATCCCCAAAATCGGAAAAAAAACGGAAGTTTATAAATGGAGGTGTCACTGTATAGCCACTACATTTTATAATTCATCCGGTGGTAGATACCTGTGTTATCTCCAACGCTAAGCTACTATAAGTAATACTACTACTTATTATAATAATGTTAATGCTTTATGTGTGTAATAGTATACGGTGTACTAATAATGTGCTTGTGTGTGTATATAGTGTGCTATCAGTATATAAACTATATACTCTGCTATCAGTAGATAATATTATTCTGAATTACTGTTATTTTCGTACGTTCCTGTGAGAGTCTTTCTGGGTATACACCCTGGAATGGGATTGGTAATTACTATATATTCATAAGTGTACATGTACTTAATATGACTGGACAATGCCAAATTATTTCCCAGAATTTTTACTTATTTATTATTTTTGGTTTTTTGAGACAAGAGTTTTCCCATGTAGTTCAGGCTGGTCTTGAATTTACTCTGTATCTCAGGCTGGCCTCGAACTCACACTGGTCATCCTACCTCAGCCTCCCAAGTGCTGGGGTTACAGGTGTGCACCACCATACCTGGCTTGGAATTTCCTCTTAAATCTTCTCTCATATTACCAGTACATCAAGGTTCTCATATCTCCACAAACCTAAATTTGGCATTATCCTATCAAGCGGACTGTTTCTGCTAATTTCTTATTTTAACTTACTTTTCTCTATGAAAATAGTTTAAATGTTTTTGGTGTTCATGGTTCCTTTTTTTTTTCTTTTTAAGACAGGATTTCCCTATGCAGTTCACATTGGCCTTGAACACACTTTGTAGCCCAGGCTGGCCTCTAACTCATAGCAGTCCTTCTGCTTCAGCCTCCCTGAACGTTGGGATTACAGGCGTGCGCCACCGTGCCCGGCCTCCTGCCTCAGCCTCATGTTCCTTTACCCAGTTTTCTCTTGATTCGCATCACTCACTTGTCAGTATGTAGGCCTTCTTTTTTTTTTTTTTAACAGTGATTTTCTTGTTCTTGTTTTCGTTTTTTTTTAATTTGTTTTGAGACAGAGTCTCATTATGTAGTTTAGACTGGCCTTTAACTTTCAGTAATCCTCCTGCCTCAGCCTCCTGAGTGCTGGGATGACAGGTGTGTGCCACCATGCCAGTCGACTTGTTTTTTAAATAAATCCTTCCCCGTCACTGATTCTCAAGGATATTTTTTCATAATTACTTCTTAAATTAATTTTATAATGTGACCTCATCACATTTAGTTTTTCAGTCCACATGGAATTCACCTTTGTACTAAAGTTAGATAGAGATCTGGTTTTGTCTTCTCCAAATGTAGTGAGTTTGCTATTCTTCCTTCATTATTGATTCTGATTTTTGGAGAACAAGTTGATTATAATTTTAGCCTTAGCACAGTGATCAATATGGTTTATAGCAAGAGTTGACCTGAATATTTTAATATTCTTTAGCCGAAGAGGAGGCAAATGAAGAAGATGTACTGGGAGATGAAACAGAGGTGAGTTGGACAGAGTAACATTAGTCGCTGGCCTGGCAATATGCCACTGCGTTGACCGTGCTTAACGTCAGTCGTTAGATGCTAATGTATTAGGGAAGTCTGTGAGGGGAGTGAAGGTCCTGTGAGACTGGCTCATGTTGGAGCTCTGATAATCTTGTGTAGATGAGTATACTGTTGTTTTTTGTTTTTTGGAGACAGGGTCTGACTATGTATCTCAGTCTGGTCTTGAACTTGCAGTCCTCCTGCCTCAGCCTCCTGAGTGCTGGGAGATGAGTATTTACTCTTGATTTACATTAACCTTGTTGTTTCATTTGGTTTTAGGAAGAAGAACCAAAGCCTGTAGAACTGCCTGTCAAAGAGGAAGAACCCCCTGAAAAAACTGTTGATGTGTAATTATCTCTTTTATAATCTAAATGTAGAGCAGACAGTTCTTCTTTTACTGGGTTCAGAGTTCACTTTGTTTTACCTTTGTTCTCATTGTTCTTCTCATTTCTGATTAAATTGTACATTTTCAGAGGTGTCTACTTCAGATACATGAAGCAAAGTTGTTTTTCTCCAAATTCTGTAGTAGGTAGTTGGAACCAGGTGACTTCAAGCCAAAACACAATTTAGTTTTTCCTAGCCTTTGTTCTTTTGCAGGATCACCAAAATAGATTATTCTGTGTTAGAATCTGTATGATTCTCTATTCTGTTAACGCTCCTAAATTCTGTAAACTGTTGTCTTTACTGAAAAGTGTGAAACTGTATATAAAGAATCTCGTTAGAGAGGAGTTTTGGGGTAGAGGTAGTGTCTCTCGTATAACCCTGTGCCTGTGTTCTCTTCCTTTTTGCAGGAGGGGAGGGTGACTGTTACAGTAGAAAGTGGATCTGTCTGTTCAAGCTATCCCACAAAGTTGATGTTAAACTTCAGTTATTTGGGACTCTTGCCACAATTGTCTGACCATTTTGTATTATAGCAAACTAAGAGCAGTTGAGTCCCTCTTAACATTTTTGTTCCTTATAGCTGTACTAAAGGCATGTAATTATAAAAGGCAATGTAGGGCTTGGGGATTTCGCTCAGCGGCACAGCGCCTGCCTGGCAAGCATGAGGTCATGAGTTCGATTCCCGGTACTGGAAAAAAAAACAAAAAAAAGAAAGTGGCAAAAGGCAATGTATGTAAAAGTCATATGTTACATAGAGGAGTATAAATTGAAAATTAAATGCCTCTTGTGTCTATCTCTGTTAGAGTTTTTGGAGATTTTTTTTTTTTTTTAGTGGATCCTTTTTGGATATTTAACTGTGTATGTGTGTGTGTGTTCATGTAATAATAATTTCTTTTTCCCCCTGGTACTTTGGATTTCAACCTGAGCTGAGCAAGAACTCTACCACTGACCTATATTCCCAGCCTTTTTTTTTTTTTTTTCTTTTTCTCTTTTTGGAGACAGGGTCTTGCTATGTATAGTCCATGCTGGCCTTGAACTCAAGGCAGTCCTTCTGCCTCAGCCTCTTGAATGCTGGGATTACAAGTATGAATTACCATGCCTGTCACCAGCCCTTTTTAATTTTTATTTTGAAGTAGGGTTTCATTAAGTTATATAAGCTGGTCTGAAACAAAAGATTTTCCTGTCTCAGCAACCTCTGGAATAGCTGGATATGCGGCACCATACCTGAGTAGGACTTTATTCTCTCTAGATGTTAGAAACACTCTATTCTGTACAGTAATTCCTTTCATCAGTGTTCTGTTTGTAGATATTCAGATTACTCATAAAAGCAAAAACAAAAAAAAGTACTGTATGTCTTATCCAACTGTTTTTGTACTTACGAAGTATGTCCATAGGATAAATTCCTAGCATGAGATTTACTATATCATAGGGAATGAACATTTAACATTTTAATAGATTTTGCCAGATACTGCTTTGTAAAGCCATCATGTTTGTTATTATTTTAAACTTTTTTGTTGTTAGAGCTTGAACTCAGGATCTCATGCATGCTAAGCATCTGCTCAGTCAATGAACTATATCCTTAGTCCCCCATTATAGGATTATAATTCAGTACAGTGCCATGAGAAAATGTCTTGGTGGAAAAGATAAAAAACATGCCTGGCCAGGCATACTGGTGCATGCCTGTAACCCCAGGCCTCCAGATGCTGAGAGGGAGTGGATTTGTGAGTTTGCAGCTAGCCTAGGCTATATAGTGAGACCTTGTCTCAAAAGACCAAAACAAATAAAACAGAGGTGTTTTGAGGACTTGGACAAGGAGGACTAATGAGTATAATGATAATTTGCTTGTTTGGGTTAAAATTAATGAGGTTTGAAAATTTTAGAAGTTGATTATGCTTAGCATATGTGAAATTTGTAATTCTCTTATTTGGGGGGGTTTATTCTATTGATAATTTCTTTTGGGGGGGTATGGGAATCGAACTCAGGACCTTGTGCTTGCCAGGCAGGCACTTATGCCACTGAGCTATATCCCCGGCCCTTATTGATAAATTTTGAAACAAAGAAATGCAAAGTGTGTGGAGGCGGTAGTTTTGATTTTTAAAGGGATGGTTGTAGTAGTTAGATTAAGTATGTTCAGCAAGATTCTGGGTTCCTGTAGTTCGTGGAATATTTCTTGTATGTAACTGGGTAGGAGAAAATACTGTCAGTGAAGAGTGGAAATTTCCCATAAGTCCTAGAATGTGGTGTGTGTTTATTTCCTGTTACATTGTGCCTGAGAGAACTGGAATCTGGTAGGAAGACGCTTCCTGTTTCGGATTCCCTTTTTTGCCATGAAGTCTACTGCAGGGATTGTGTTTCAGGATGAGAATGTGGAGGAAGTCATTAGCAGGGGAGAGTGGGGAGGACTGCTCTCTTAATGACATTGGACTTCAAATAAAACATTAAACTTCTGAGCCTTTTTTGCCTGACCACGACAGACAAGGCTGGAAAGGAGGTAGGGATTTCTTTAAAAGTCAGAATTTTCAGGCCTGCCTTAGGTCCTTTGAATATTCAGAAGAAAATTTCCTTGCCTTATCTTTGTCCAGAAGTTCTGCACAAACGTGTCTGTTTCTGTTTTGATTTTTCTTCAGTCCAGGCGGTAGTCTATTGTAGGACTTAGTTATGGTCAGCAGGGGGCACCCGTTGCTTGTCTGTCAGGGGCCCTCCAACAAAGAATAGAGAGGGTAAGTTCCTGTTCCAGAATTGCTTCCTCTGAAGATGTCATTAAACCATTACTACCTTTCAGAGCATCAAATGGGAAAAGTGTCTGGGATATTGGAACAAAAGCCGCCCATGTCTCTAAATGAGGGACCTTAATGAGACTGGTTATGACCCACGGTTTTATGGGAGTTGTTTGGTGGAGAGTTAATGCCCTTCCATTTATTCTGGTACTTCCGAACTTTGTCTCCCATCCCTGTGGTCTCTCTTTTGTTTTGCCTTAACCCTTTTGACTGGTAACTTACCATGTTTTCCTAATTCAAACCCCCCTTATACCTTTTTCCCACTCCCTTTGGCATTTTTATTTGTTCCACTTTGTTTCAGCTAGAGCTGGGGTCCTGTGGGAGAAATAAGGCTTTTGTAAGAGGAGAAAATCAGAGTTTAAAGAGTACTCATTAAATGTTATTGTGATGAAAATTGAGAATTGAAGAGATGATCATTAGTCTAAAAGTAAATTTCAAGTTTCTAAAAGCAAATGAAATGATTTCTGGTCTCCTTTGCATGTTTCTCTGAGCCCAATATGTTTAACCGGCTCATTTCCTGATTACTTTCTTATACCTTAGCTAAAGTAGTTTACTACTATTTGAGCTCATCTCAGTAGATGAGAGTTCAGGAAACTAGAATTCTAATGAACTTCATATTTTCTTGAATTAAGGGGTAGCAGAGGGAGGCAGAGGATAAGACTTAGGTAAATTCTAAATGTATTTCTAAGGTTTTGGCTTAGAATATCAGTTAACTGATTTTTAAAAATCTTTTCTAGGGCGGCAGAGAAAAAAGTGGTAAAAATTACATCTGAGATGCCACAGACTGAGGTATGTATTCTGTTCCTTAATGGAATAGTCTTCATTTCTGTTTCTTACCCTTTTTTAGGTCTGCATCGTCATTTTAAACTTTTTATTTGTAAATAAGCTACTAACAAATTTTGGTGTTGATTTCCCTACCAGCTACTATTAAGAAAATATTTGGACTACTTTTGGAGTTGCAGTCTTTTTGTATATGATTCTGTAGTCTTAATGGTAACTCTAATATGTTTACAAATCTAGGTTAGTTTGAGTGAATTGTGCCTTGGAAAAGTAACATTGATATATCTCCCTCTTAAATTGTTACTTGCCTACAGATGAGATTCAGATTTCTTTGAGTTTTGTCTTGAGATCTCTGAAACCAGGTTTCAGTTGAGATCTTGTGCTCGGTTTTGTGCCTTCAAAGTAGAGAATCATTAGACTCTTTCAGAATGCCGTGAGACAGTGCTGCCTCCTTTCTCATTGGAAGAAGTCACTACGTGTTAAGGCAAACTATTTCTTTTATCTCTGGTCAAAGGTAAACCATAGTTTTTATGGTCTTGGGTTCATGCATAAAATAGGTTTTATTTTATTTCTTTTGTTCTTGAAGGCATGAATTAATGAGTCTTTTTTTGTGTTTGTGCTCTGGAAAACAGCTGTTTCATTTAGCCCTAAGATGGGTACAACCTGGTATCTTCCAGAATTATCAGTATTTTAAGTCTAGATTTTAAGAAATTACTTTGGCTGAGCGTGGTGGCACATACCTATCATCCTAGTGTTGCAGGAGGCTGAGGCGGGAGGATCATAAGTTCAAGCCCAGTTAGGCAACTCGTGAAACCTGTCTAAAAAATAAAAAGAGGTAGGGATGCAGCTCAGTTCAAAGATCCTGGGTTCAGTTCCCAGTATCTCCCCACAAAAATGAAAAGACAAGAAAAAACGTTAATCCTGATATTAAGGTACCATCTCTAATCAACTTGTTAAAATCAGAAATTGAATTTTTCTCCTCTTTTGTCTGTTACCACTCAGAGAATGCAGAAGAGAGCCGAACGATTCAATGTACCTGTGAGCTTGGAAAGCAAGAAAGCTGCTCGGGCAGCCAGGTGAGTGTCTGTAGCCCTTTGGACCTGAGATACTAGTGGTATGAAAGTAGAGCTGCGACCCTGTGTCTACGCTTTGGGTGTAACTTGATTTTCAGTAGAATAGTGGCCCTGCAGAAAGAAAATAAACGTTTTTGACCCCATTCAACACATCTCTGGTGAGACGGTAAGGTAGTTATAGCATGGGCTCTATCATTAAGTGGGGTGTTTTGTAATGGATGGAAATCAGAAATGGTCTGCTGCTCCTCACTCTGACATGGCTTTCTGTAGCTTTGTCTCTGGACTTTTGGTGAGAACAGAGTGAAGCTCTTTCAGGGGGTTGTTAGAATTAGCTAATGATCGCAAAGCTCGAGATCACAAGCGCGGAGTGTCACGTGTACACTTGGCACGGAGACGGACAGTCGGGAGTGTGAGCCCCTTCCTAAAGTTTCACTTGTTTTTTTTTTTCCTACAGGTTTGGGATTTCTTCAGTTCCAACAAAAGGTAAGAGTACAGACATGCTTCCCAGAAAGTTATCTTCATTTTCTTCTTTCCTGGCATAACAGATTTCATTTCTCCAAATTAAGGTAAAAATTATTAGCTATGGAAGTTTGTAGGAGGTTATAGCATTTGCCTTTTTGGTTTAAATAAAATTGTACTTAAACCTTCCTGGGCAAGTAAGAGGAGGTTCTGAAATTAGAATAGAAGGAGGTGCCAACGTATGTCTTCCTTAGACATCTTCAGAGAAGTTTCCAGTACCTTATTTACTTATTATAGTGTCCTGTCAGCATTTTTTCGTTTTGTTTTTTGAGACAGTGTCTTGCTATAACATTCAGGCAGGCCTTGAACTCAACTGTGTACTGGCCTCAAACTCACAGCACCCTTCCTGCCTCAGCCTCCTTTTTTTTTTTTTTTTGTACTGGGAATTGAACCCTGGACCTTGTGCTTGCCAGGCAGGCGCTTATGCCACTGAGCTACATCCCCGGCTACTGTCTTAGCCTCCTAAGTGCTAGGACTATAGGCATGCGCCACCATGCCCAGCTGCCTAAAATATTGTATACCTATTTAGTGCTGTGGGTTACTGTAAGTGGTAAAGGGAACAGAGTATCTCTTATCTTAACAGTTTTACTTCAGGAACTTACAAGGTAATAATCTTGGATGTGCTCATCTGCTTAGCCTTGAAGATTGTCACAGCATTATTTGTAGTTATCAGTAACTGGAAACAACCAAATGTGCAATACAGAATTGGCTAAATAGGGGGCTGGGGATTTAGCTCAGCGGCACAGCACCTACCTTGCAAGCGCAAGCTTGTGAGTTCGATTTCCGGTACTGGAAAAAAAAAACAGAAAACAAAACAGAATTGGCTAAATAAATGTGTGCCATAGTATAGCAGACTCTATTGTCTTAGAAATATTTTAAAATATTTGTCAGAAAACTGCTAAGTGAAAAAACAGCTTCCAAAATTGTATTAAGTATGTTCCTATTTTATTCATAAAAGTGTGCATGTATGGATGAGGTAAAAAGATTAGAAGGGCATATATTAAATTCTTAATACACAATATTTCTGGTAGAATTTTAAGTGACTTCTTCTTGCTTGCTTATATTTTATTTTTTCTCTAATTTTTAAATTTTTTTTTTTTTTGGTACCGAGAATGCTTGTGTTTTTAGAAGCTATTTAGCTGGGCATGGTGGCTCATGCAGGTAATCCCAGCACTCGGGAGGCTGAGGCAGGAGAATCGCTGTGAGTTCGAGGCCAGCCTGGGCTATAAAGTGAGCTAACGGCCAGCCTGAACTGCATAGTGAGACCCTGTCTCAAAAAGACCGCCCCCCCCAAAAAAAAAGCTGTTTAATGCATATGTATTATTTTATAATTAGTTACAGGAAACACTTACTGTTTTTTTAAGAAAAAGAACATAGCATCCTGGCTTGATGGTGCATGCCTGTAGAATTGCTGGTTTGAGCCTAGCCTGGGGCAGTTTAGCAACTTGATGAGTGAGAGCCTGACTTAAAAAAGGGCTAAGGATGTAACTCAGTGAAAGGCCCTGAATAAAACCCAGTACTGCAAAATAAAACAAAACCAAATTTTAAAAATATAGCCCCTGTTCTGAATTAAAAATTTAAAGCTGGGTGTGGTGGTGCATACCTGTAATCCCAGCACTCAGGAGGCTGAAGCAGGAAGATCCCCGTGAGTTCAAGGCCAGCCTGGACTACATAGCGAGACCCTGTCTCAAAAAAAAGAAAATTTAAATATTGTCTCCTAATCTAGTCTGGTCTTCCTAGTCACCTGTCAGTTTTTAGTGTGTTGAGAAAATGTCCCCCAATGATCTTGTAGTATTTTTTGGTTGACTGGTTAGTTGGTTTTTTGAGATAGAGGGTCTCACTGTGTAGTCCAGATGGACTATGAACTTGCAGAGATCCTCTTGCCTCAGCTTCCCAAGTGTTAAGATAGGTATGTGCCACCACACCAGGCAATCTGAGAATTCTAACTGGAGGTTGAGTCCAAGGCCTTCACATTGAGCTATACCCTCCTGCTCGCCCTTTTTGTATTTGTTTTGGGATAGGGGCTCAGTAAACTGCCCAGGCCTGGCTTGCACGTTGATCCTCATACCTCGGTCTCCCAGAGTGCTAGGGTACCAGTCATAAGACTGAAATTACTTAAAATGAATTCTGGAAAGTATGAAATAAATAATTATCGACTAGCTGGGCAAAGTGGCACACGCCTATAATCCCAGCACTGGGGAGGCTGAGCCAGGAGGGTGTCTGTGAGTTCGTGACCAGTCTGGGTTACATAGTGAATTCAAGGCCATCCTGAACTGCATAGCAAGACCCTGTCTCAAAAATTAACAACACTGCCCAGCAAGTACAAGGTCGTGAGTTCGATTCCTGGTACCGGAAGAAAAACAAACCAAGAAAAAAAAAATCAACAACAACAAAATTACTGACTAGTTCAGGATTAGGCCTGTAAGTTTTTCTCTTTCTCTCTCTTTTTTTTCTTTTGGAAGACGAAGTTTCACTATGTAATTCAGGCTGGCCTTGAATTTGTGGTGATCCTGCTGCCTCAGCCCCCTAAGCACCAGGATTATAGGCGTGTGCCATGACACCTGGCTGTTTTTTTTTTTTTTTTTTTTTTTCTGGTTTTTCTCCGGTACCGGGAACCGAACTCACGACCTTGCACTTGCCAGGCAGGCGCTTTTGCCGCTGAGCTAAATCCCCAGCCCCCACCTGGCTGTTTTATTTGTTATGTACATGTGTGTGTAAGTTTTTGTATGGGTGTTATGTTCTCATTTCTCTTGGGCACATATATCTAGTAGAATGGTTGGTCATATGGTAACTGTGTTTCGCTTTTTGAGAAACTGAAAAGTCACATGTTCACAGCAGCAAGTGTAGACGTGCTATCGACAAGTGTTTTCTGCCCATTCTTATCATCATAGGATAAAAGGATATTTGTCCCATATACTGTTTTTATGCTATTCCAATTTGATTTGAAGACTGTTGACGTCCTTTATGACTTCAAAAAATATTAAATAAAATTTTCGTTTGATTTCTTAGGTCTGTCATCTGATACCAAGCCTATGGTATGAAGTCTTTTTTCTTTTCTCCCTTGCAGAGCTAGATAGTAACTATACAGTTAGTTTTAAAGTTAGAGATCACTTTCTCCCCAAAGCAGAGAGTTCTGAGCCGTGAATTTGTTGACTATTTTCAGTACAATATTATATGTCCTAAATAAAGAAAGAAATTGTTTTGGGGTATAGAGAGGTCAGGAAAATTGGCCACATATTCTACCACATGTTTTCCATTCTACCGTGTCTCTTTTTGAAAAGATGGTTAGATTTTGTTAGCTAAAAGACAATCCCTTTGTCTTATGGAACTGGAGTTTTAAGCCTTGTCTGATGGCTTTATTTATATATTTTCGTGGTATGAGGGGTTTGAACCCACAGCCAGACAAGAACTCTACTACTGAGCTGTATCCCCAGCCCTCCAATGGCTTTAGATAATGTCGTCTTTTAACTACCGTAAGAAGATTGATAGAAGCAATTTATGAGCTCTATTTGTAGATGCTATTTTGGTATTTTTAAAATTACCTATTAAATATAAAATCACAGAGTAGAGAATGGTGGAATGGCTTGGGCCATAGTCTGCATGTTCAGAAATGGAGACATGAGTGGTAGAATATGTTCAGCCTTATGAAATCTGCTTTTGGGGATATTATTCAGTATTTTAAGTGAAGTTGAAATACTTCATTATTGTTGTTATTAATTAAAATATGCCAGATCTTATGATTGCAAGTCTTATATATACCAAGGCTTCCAAGAAAAGGGAGGGAAGAGAATCGAGTTGAGTAGTCGTGGTATACTTGAAAATGTGAGCACTGCAACTGTGTTTGTCTTTATTTGAAGGTAGAGTTAAGAACTGTTCGCAGAGGCCATTTATAGGAATTGATGATTTTGGACTGGGGTGATGGACTTGTTTAGAGGGGATGATTTATTACACGTTTGCTTTTTCGAGCAGTGTTTGGCATGCAGACTTTGATCTTCAGCCTTCCTTGGGCTCTCATCACCTTTGATGAATGAGGGAGACAGGGCTAAGTCTTTTACTACATCCCAGAAGAGGCCTTTTACTAAGTGGAGTGGGTGGGTGTTGCTTAGCTTTTGAGTTTGGGACGTAGCTGTCTTTTAATACTGAACTCAGCTTTGGACTATAGTTTCTGCCTTCTCTATTTCCTGTGTTGATTTTTAAATGTATTCCTTTATTTTTGTAGGTTAACCTGGATAAGCTAAAGGAAAGAGCACAAAGATTTGGTTTGAATGTCTCTTCAATCTCTAGAAAGGTAATGTAGACTGGGTGAAAGTGCTGTTTTTGCAATACTAGCACCGCTTGGGGGACTGTCACAGACTGGAAATAACACTCCTGGGAATGTGGCTGGCTACTCCGCACTTCATTTCAGAAGATCTTTTGAACACTTGTGTCACCTTCCTCTCTCTGAGTGTTAGTTACATTACAGGAACCGTTTCATTATTGTGTTCAGCAGTGCTTTCACCCAAGCCGTTAAAGCATAGTCTGTATTTCTCTTGGTTAGGATGTTGAATACAGTAGTGTTAAAACTTATTGCGTATACTTCTTATGATATAGGCACAAGGAAACTTAAATAATAAGGCATGTCTATAATGCTGGTAGTGTCTAAGAGCCCAGAGGATTTTAAGCTTGAGCCCAGCCTGGGGAATTTAATGATATACTGAGACCCTGTCTCAAAAGATAAACAAGGAAGGCTGGTGATACAGCTCAGTGGCACAGCACCTGCCTGGCAAGCACGAGGTTGTGATTTGATTCCTGGTACAAAAACAAAAAAGTCACCAGGATATATGTAGGTGTTGCGTTCTTTTCAGTAAATGTAAAGGTATCCTGTGAACCTTTTTATACTTTATTCTTCAGCTCTGGAAAATTTTCTTCAGTTACTTTCTTAAGTCCATGTTTTCCTGAAAATAAGACCTAGTGAAAATAACGAGCCTTGAATACTAGAGATCAAAAATACCAATCCCACCTCTGGGCATGGTGGCACTCTTCTGTAATCGCAGCACTTGGGAGGCTGAGGCAGGAGGATCGCTGCAAGGTACAGAACAGCCTGGGCTACATGGTGAGTTCAAAGTCACCATGAACTACATAGTGAGACCCTGTCTTTAAAAAAAAAAATTAATTAAAAAGCCAGCCCTAGTTATTCTGCCATTACTGTTCTCTTGCTTAGTGTCTACTCTGTAAGGCAGGGAAGGCAAGAATAGGCTGATTGGGGCTGATTTTTTTGATCCTTAGTTTTCAAAGCTGATTTTTTTTTTCTGGTTAAGTCTTATTTTCAGAGAAATAGGGGATTTTTATCTCAGCTCCATTTGCTTTGCCCTGTTTCAGGTATTCCTATTAAGTATCAATATTATCTCGTGGACAGGCCCTCTGCTTTTCTCTTTTTCTCCTTTTTGTATCTACATTTCTTTGGCCTTTTCCTCTGCATTCTGTGAGAATTTTTGTTTTGTGTTCATTTCGGATGAGATTGGGTATGTTCAGGGTGGTATGGCCATTGTTTAGCATTTATTTCAGCAATTTTACTTTGTGACTGACCCTGTTTGCATGCCTCCTTTAATTCTCATAAAATCCAAGAAATCTTCCATTTGCTCTAATACCACCTGCTTTATAATTAATCGTATACTGCTAATGAACTCTTTTATAAGATGTTCAACACTTTCTAGCTTATCTATAGAAACCAGTACCTGTTTCAAGAGGAGACATTTTTCTGATTACATAGCTTGGTTCCTTCTGAACTGTTGTGTTATGACCTTTTCAATGACCTGTCTTCACAGTGGAGTCCAGAAACAGAGTATATGATTCATTCTTATTTATTTATTTATTTATTTATTCAGACAGACAGACAGACAGACAGGGTCTTGCTATGTAATTCAGGCTGGCCTCAAACTCTGGGCAGTCCTCGGCAGTCCTCCTGCCTCAGCCTCCCTAGTGCTGGGATTATAGGTGTGTGTCACCATACCCACTTTAGTATATGATTCTTAAGCCATGTAACTTAACTGGGAAGAATTATGATAAACCAGAAGTCATTTGTGTTGTGCTTGATAGTGAAGGGGATGGGTGCCTTGGATCTGTGGGTCCCTGTTTCACATCTGTCTCCCCTAAACCCCTTTTTCTGGCCTTGGGATTTGAATAAAGGTCTTCCTATTGCTAGGTAAGGTTTGACCGCTGACCCACACCCCAGCTGTTTTCTTTTTTAAAAAAATTTTGAGACAAGTTCTCACTAATTTACTAGATTGGCTTCAAACTATTGAGTGATCTTCCTGCCTTAGCCACCTGCGTGCTGGGATCACCATGCCCAGTAAATTTTTTAATACTTGTAGAAAATATACGTCTTAGTTACTTTTCTCATTGCTGAGAGCAACACCCAGAGTTAAAGGAGGAAAGGTTTATTGTAGCTCACAGTTTGTAGAGGTTTCGGTTCATGATTGGCTGGCTCCAAGGCAGGGTGGCGTGGCAGAGGAGCATCACAGAGGAGAAACAGTTCATGACAGGCACAAAAGCAGTAAGTGACAGCAGCTCTCTTTCTGTTGCTTGTATTCTATCCAGGCTACCTGGCCTGAAGGAGGGTGGCACCGAGACCCAAGGTGGTGGACCCTTAATCCTAGCATCACGCCATGAATCAATCCTAGTGTCACATCCTTAATCCTAGCATCACATCCTCTCGCTCCAACTCCCTCTCAAAAGCTCTACCTATGACAGCACAGGCTTTGGGGAGACATCTAGATACAAGTCATAAGATTATATAAACAGTTGCAGGAGTAAATCTGGAAGGACAGAAATTGGAAAGGGAATAAGAGATAAAAGCAGTTTCTCTTTTCAAGTAACTTTCCCTGTAGAATTTAGTGTTCTGTATCTAGTTGCAATCCTGAGATTGCAACTGACCACTTTCTCCATTGAGAGTTACCTATTCCAAGCCTTGTGCTTGTCTGTCGCTAGAGGTAAGTTGCTACCACATACTTGGTTGGCCAGAGCTTGTGATATCATTATGCATACACGTATAGGATGGCGAGGTTGGCACATTTCTGTCGACGTCCTTGTGGAGTTCTGGGTTCCAGTACAGCCGGTAAAGTTTGCCCACTTTTCTTTCTTTTTTATAGTTCTCTGGACACAAATTTCAGTTTGGTATGGAACAAATAATGAGAGTAATACAAAGATCTCTCTTTCCCATCCTAGTATTCTGAACAAGACAGTGGGAAACCCATCTCCTATTCATACCTTTGCGCACGCACGCACTGTAAGTGTGCATTTGCCTGATCCAACTCCAGGCCCCACTTGCTTTCTCTTTCTCTTCAGCCTTGGCTGTGGGACAGCACACATGAATAAAGAGCAAGTGTGTGAGAGCAGATGAGCCAAGGGTCAATAGTATTTATGACTCATTTTTAATTTTATTAATTATTTTGGTGTTTTGAGAAAGGGCCTCAGTATGTAGCTCAGGTTGGCCTTGAACTCACTATGTAGCCCAGGCTGACCTCAAACTGATGGTGATCCTCCTGCCTCAGCGTCCCAAGTGCTAGGATGATAGGCGTGTGCTACCATGCCTGGTGATTTTTTTTTTTTTTTTTTTTTAAAGATAGCACAATCTGCTCATCTCTCAGTGTTTGGGGTTGACAGCCTGCACTTACTACAGATATGAGGAAACTGCGTTCCTGCTGTTTTTCTAGGCTGAGTTTTGCATGACTGCTCAGTTTTCAGCTCCATTAGTATCCTATAAACATAGGCATTGCACAGAAACTTAAAGAAATCTGGTTCCCATATTCACACCCCTCCCCATTATCGTTCCCTTTTCCCCTGCACAGTAAAAATCTGTTCATGTTTCCAGCTCAGCTCTCAGTGAATAGGATCCTGTTGGTTTAGGATAATGAGAAGTGACAGGGCAAAGAATAGCACTGGCGTTTATAGACATTTTTTACAGAAGAGGCTGTAAATTGTCCCTTCCAACTCTTTGGACTATTTGAGGATAGAATGGCATGCCTTTTCTCATGTAAGACTCACGGTGACTATGTGCTAAGAAACCTCTTACCCTCTCGAGTAAAACAAAACCCAGATAAATAAGATCTGCCTGGTTGGTTCTGATTGATCACCAGCTTCATTTTCAACCAAGTTTTGTGCTTGACTGGTTGGGGTTTTTTCCCCCCTCTGTCAGTTTTCCGTGCCTCCCAAGAAAAGTTAGTGTTTGAGTCCGTTCTTTTAGTGAAAGACAGGACTTGGCCTGACGCGAAGGAACACATCTTTAAAAGGAATAAGAATTAGATAGAGGAAATGAAGATGGTAAGCCAGTTAAACTGATACATGCTGGTCAAGATACTAGTTTTGGTAAAAACTATATAGGCTTAGAGTTGTAGCATTAACTGATGTAGCTAATTTGAGTGTATCATTTTATTTTTTTCAAACGTTGGCATACTTGGAAAGATAAATTTGGTACTTTAAGAGGTTGTAGGAAATCCATCTAAGTGGGTGGATTCAAAACAAAACAAAACAAAAACTAGCCCAGGCACTCCACACAACATTGTAGTGTGGTTGATACTCTTCTGCCTTCCCAGGAATATATAGGGCAGTGGTGGTAAACCTATGGCGTGCGTGCTGCAGCAGGCTATTCATATCATTGAAAGCTCTAAAAGGTTCACCATCACTGGATAGGGCATTTGGTACTGATTCTGATTCCTTTTTTTTTTTTTTTTTTTTTCCTGGTGCCGGGAATCAAACTCAAAACCTTGAGCTTGGCAGGCAGGCGCTGTGCCTCTGAGCTAAATCCCTGGCCCCCTTGATTCTGATTCTTGATTAGTAGTAGAAGATATAAGCATCTTGCATCTTGCTGACCTTAGTATTAGTATCTCTTTCCTTTTTTCTGTACTAGAGTACCACCAGGTTTTTCCTATGTTTGTAGTGCTTCATATAAGTAACTGTCTTAAGTTATTTTAAGGCCTGTATGTCCTGAAAAGGCTACTTTTTCTCTGGCTTGTGATTTTTGCCTGTTTTCTTCCCTCCTGACTGTGGTCTGTGTGACACAGTGTTAGAGTATAAAAAGGTTAAAAAAACTTACCTTTCCACTGACCGCTGTTTCTTGTTGAGGCTGTAGCTGGAATATTCTTGAATAGCTGCCGTGATAATTTTTATAAGCCTTTTGTATTACATCTTCATTTATTAAGTTGGGTGGAGATGAACTCTTTCAGAGTGAGAGATAGTCAGCCTTGTTTATGGAGAGCTTATCACTGATACATGTTGTGACACGCCCCCCCCCAAGAAAGCTGGGGTAAAGTC